CAAGTTGGCCATGCCCACCCAGTCACATGGCTGCCAAGCCACTCCCACTCAGTCACATGGCTGGCAAGCCACTCCCACAAAGCAGGCCACACCTACAGAAGAGGTTTTAAAAAAATTTGAAACCCACCACTGGTCCTGTGGGTCCTTCTGACAAGTAAAATCAATGGGGAAGCCCGATTCACTTAACAATAGTCTTACTTCATTTAACAACTAGGGCAAAAAAGTTCATAAAATTGGGCAAAATTCACTTAACCACTGTCTTGCTTAGCAATGAAATTTTTGAGTTCAACTGTTGTCATCAAGGGCCACCTGTACCAGGCTTCAGATAATTTAGAAATCAAAACTAATATATAGATATATATTCAAACTCAGATTTTACCATATTTATCTTTGGGAAGTAAGCAAAAGTTTAATAAGCACATTTCTGTTTATCTGATCTTGCTTTCCCAACCATCTAGAGTAGATCTAACAGGAGGAAAAATTTATTCCCTTGACACCAACTCATCAGGGAAGACCTTAACTCTGCATCACTTTCAGTTATCTTTGTAAATACCAGATGTGTTTAATGTTTCCAAAAGGGGAAAAAACTACACTGTTTTCACCACAAAGAGAAAATGAATCAAATCCTCAAGGGGCTCTCCTCTACTTTCCATCCCCTAGCATCTATTAAAAGTCCCCTTTTATTTTTTTAACACTAACACACAATTTGTTGATTTAATAAAAATGAATTAATAATAACAAATAAAAACAAATAAAGAAAGCTTGAAAACATACTAATTCCTATTCAAACTTTACTCTCAGTGTACCATGCAACAGCTTTACTATAGAACTCTGCCATCTACTGTCTCTTAATCTCAACAGGCTGGTTATACAATATTGTCAATTCTTATTATTTTCGGAAAAAACAAATTCTAAGTCAGTTTAGTATATTTTGCTTTTTACAAAAACCCTGCAAAAACGTAATGCAATTTTCCTGGGAGAATTTTAACATTCATATATTTTAGCACTATATTCTCCAAATTAATTAAATACTATATAACAGACATTCATAAAACGTCTAGGTATACTGTATAATTTTTTATTTATCCAAAGGGATGTATTATTTGATTTATTTTTAAACATTTGCCAGCTAGTGCATTCTTTTTACATTAGCATGGTCCATTACATTATAACATGCAAATTTATTTACTGAAAAACCTGGCATGGTCATTAAGTGAATGTTAACAGATATACAGCAAAACATTTAATTATTTCAAACCATCCCATTATTGTATAATTGGCATAATTGGACTATTACAATTCATTAATTTATCTTTTAATTTACTGATTCATTTTGATTTAAATATTACTTCGTCTTAGAATCCTGTTTGTTTGTCTCTGCTCTCATTTGCGCCTTACTTACTATGTAAATTCTTTCAGCACATAATTCTTATTTGTTGCTTCCAGCTCCTACTTGATTCCCCCTTCTTGACCTCACAATTAGTTGCTGGCTATTGAAATGCAGAAGCATGGAAGAAACTGAGTTCAAAAGATTGTGGGTCGTGAATGGCATTTCAGCATGTAAGTCAAGTCCAAAAAGCATTTTGGGGTCATATTATAAAAATCATACCCCAAGGACAACTCTGATAATTAATAAGTGGAAGTTGAATGCCAAGATACAATTCCAGAAGGAAAAGTTCTTGGTACAATGGAATTGCAATGCCTGATATTTTTCAATCAATCAATCTGAGTACAGCTGGAAGGGATCTTGGAGGTCCTCTAGTCCAACCCCCTGCACAAGCAGGAGATCCTATACAATTTGAGACAAGTGACTGTCCAGTCTCTTCTTAAAAACCTCCAGTGATGAAGCACCCACAACTTCTGAAGGCAAGTTGTTCCACTGGTTAATTGTTAGGAAGTTAGGAAGTTTCTCCTTAATTCCAGGTTTTCTTTCTCTTTAATTAGTTCCCATCCATTGCTTCTTGTCTTGCCTTCTGGTGCTTTGGAAAATAAATTGACCCCCTCTTCTTTGTGGCAGCCCCTCAAATACTGGAATACAGCTATCATGTCACCCCTGGTCTTTCTTTTCTCTTGACTAGCCATATCCAAATCCTGCAACTCTTCTTCATATGTTTTTGTCTCCAGGCCTTTAATCATCCTAGTTCAGGAATGTCAAACTGCGGCCCGTGAACCAGATGTGTCATGTGCAGGCCATGGCCACCCCAGCTCAGCAAAGGCAAAAACCTTTGCAATATGTCATGATACGTCACGTGACACAATAGTTTCACACCCGTGTCCTAGTTGTTCTTCTCTGCACTTTTTCCAAAATCTCAACATCTTTTTTTTGTAACGTGGTGACCAAAACTTGATGCTGTATTCCAGATGTGGCCTTACTAAAGGTTTTTTAAAGTGCGACTAATACTTCACACGATTTTGATTCTATGCCTCTGCTTATACAACCAAGGGTGTATTCACTTTTTTAACCGCTGCAGCACACCGCTGGCTCGTCTTGAAGTGATCGTCCATTAGCACTCCAAGGCCCCTCTCATAGTTACTGTTTTTGAGCCAGGTTTCACATCATCTGGGATTT